TTTCCCCGCTGCCCTAAGTGTCGCAGGCCTACTCCCCACTACTTGAGTGTTTTCCCCGCTGCAACCCCCTCGAAGTCACAGCTACAGACAAGTACCAGCCCCCGTGGGCCTCACAACACACAAGTGCCCTGTCGGGCCACACACACACTCAGGCCAGACGTCCATTCAGACGTGCACTCGGACAGGCAAACACGCACACACACAGACAACCCAGCAGAACGCGGGAATCTCAGCAAGGCATACATTCCAGCGGCAAAACCCAGAAATCAGCAGTGTTCTCAGTCTGTGTTCTGGCAGGTTATTACAGACAATTGAAAGCTTTATAAACGACAGCACGTGATTTCACTGTTCTCCGATGAACCATATGAACGTCGAACATTGACATCTTTCGCATCAGTTGTTGTACCTTGCTCTAAAATCAAAGGCTCGATCAGCAAGACTTGCACGATACAGAGAAGACAAGCACAGTCCATGTGCAAGGATGACACGCATAAATCGAGCAATGGTCCAAATTTTATTAGGAAAAAAAAGGGGAAAAAAAGACACTTGCATGGTCAGAATGTGGCGTTTGGCAAGGGCCAATCACCACTTAACAAGGTGCAGGTCAGCCAGATTCTCAAAATCAAATGAACACGAGTTGGATTACCATCATACGCAGGTATACACATTCCTCAGTGGGGCCTATCCCGAATCCAATCCTACAACCCAGCATTTGTCCCTTTCTAGCTCAGCTGCATTGATTGAAAAGTCACGCTGCAGCTACCAGTGCACTTACACTGGCAGCACATTCCCATCACCTCATCTCTTATTACAGTGTTAAAAGCCAGAATATATGCAATCTCAAGTACAAGGCAGTACAGCTTTGGCCAGATAATCAGCCCTCGCCCATCCCACTGCTGGACACCTCGCAGCTGGTCTTTTTCCCTTTCTTTTCAGTCTCTTCCCTACCTACCCCTGTGCCCAACAGCTTCCAAAGAAGTATGTCCAGGTTCACAAAATGCTACACAACTTAGTCAGACTGTCACTCCCAGATCAGCTCAGGTAGCTGTTTTCTCCTACTTTCAGACCAGCCAGTACATTTGTAGAGGAGACACCGACATGCAGCTATCGACTTCCAAACCAGCCATGCTGACCTGGACTATTTGAACTATCTGCTCTTGTCAGCATCATCCTCAGAAAAGGAAATGGGAAAAATCTGCTATAGGGGACCATTGCAGTACACCTTCCCTCCCACCACACATTTCCTGTCATGCTATTACCGCAATTCCCCAAGGATACGTTCACCTAGCCAATTCAGCTGAGCTAGAAGTGCTGCATAAGTGGAATGCTGAGATAGAACTGCACGTGCAGAGGATTGATGTCCTCCACTTACATCTGAAAACTACCCCAACTGCAGTATGGCTGTCCATGTTCAAACACCCCTTACAAGCAAATAGAACACTCGATATCCATCTTTTGTTCTTTTTACAACTTCTCCTTCCGCTAAATGGTATCGGTAGGAGCGACCGGTGGTGTGTACAAAGGGAAGGGTATTCATATTTTCTCCTCCTGGCCACCAGTTTACACTAGTATCCACTCACCTCAATTTCCTTCTCTCTCTTTCGCTCCAATGCATCCGGATCATACAAAGCTCTCTCCTCATCACTGACCTCATCTTCCCTCTGCATCATCTCCTCCTTCGCCGCCTGCCACTGCACATTTGATAAAACCAAAACATACAAACAAGAAAACTCGTTGAGAACTGCAATTCCACATACCCACAGTTGCAAAAAATATCATACATGCACAGCCGTTCTGCCCTCCCTCACCTCATTCTCCCACAGTTCCTTCCTTCACACACACTTTGGCAGAGATTGCTCGCTCTCTTTCCCTCCCTCTTTCGCTCCCAGAACTGCATCCATTGCACACACCCTTCCACCGACAATACTCTCTGGTACAATAGCAGACTCTGCCACCAATCCCTGCACTCGCCTTTCACTCCCTCTATCCCTCCCTCTTTCCCTTCCTCCTGTCTTGCCACCTTCACAATTATGAAAAATGATACAGCCATTTTGCCCCTCCTCTCTCCTCGATGCAGGCCACCACAAAGATGGACGCCTGCCAACAGTTCCCTCCTTCCCACTCACCCTTGGTCCACCTTCCCTTTTTTTTCCAACTGAGTTCACAAAGAGAAAACATACTGCAAAGGCTGTCCACCACCGCCTTCCCCCCCCCCCTTACCCCAATCTGCCGAAAACCTGCCCCCTTCATCACCTCCGTCTTTACCTCCTTCCTCACATCTTCCTACCTCAACCCCGCTGTCTCCCCCTCCCTCATACCCTTCATATTGCCAATTTCATGGTAGTTGAATCCTGAAAAAAATGGCATGGAAAAATAATGGCATTCATCCACCTTCATCTCTCTTTTCAGACAGACTTCAAAATTATACAGAGCACGCTGCATCGACCATCCGCAAGAACCCCACTTCCCCCTTCCTGGGTCCCTTCTCCCTTGCCATCGGTTCCACCTTCCAACCCTTCCACTCTACCCTCATGAAGTTGGTTCAATTTACATAGCACATGAGAACCTTCCACCTAATCCAGGAGCTGGAATCATGCATTTAAGTGCTACAGAACCTTCCACCTCATGCTACCCATCTGATGTAGCGCTTAAACAGAGACCAAAGTGCAACCACTGCTGGCTGACCATCCAGGATTCTCTAGTTATACCTTGCTTAGTAGAGATGACACCTTCTTGTTGGCATATGAAGCTCCGCTCCCAAGGATTGTAGCATGGCTTCTCTTCTTAGATTTAACTGCAGGGTAAAGCAACATGCACTTGATTAGGCAAGTTACCCACAAATGCCACCGAGAACTGCTGGGCATACGATAAACACCAGATATCCTCCGATCCAAGACCCGCACAATCAAGCAATTTTTTAACAACAACGAGTTCAAATTTATACAACGCTGTAAGGCACAATAACTCGACCTGCCAGCAAACCAAGCACTTTACAGATTCCCAAGCCGAGACGTGAGCAAGCGCATCTTGAATAACCGAGGAGGGGATGTATTGTGACAACCAGCTTTGCAGGGTCCCTTTCATTGCCAATGGTTGTCAATCGAACGGATGCCTTTGCACACCTGCTGTTGGCTAAGGCAGCTCTCGTCTAGGAATGTCGGCACCACAAGGAAAATGACATGAGCCATAACAGAAACAGCAACAACTGGGGTAAAATAAGCATCAGAATGTCGAATTGGGAGAATACTACACTATGAAGAAGTATTCAGATAAATCTAACGATCCAGACGACTCTTGGCTTCTAGAACACTTTAAAGAAGTTTTGGAATACATCTAATGACACCGACAACTCTTGGCTTCGCGCTTTTTTTGGCCCTGAAGTACTGGGGAAGGAGACCTCAAATACACACAAACCTTTTGCAAAAAGTCCACAAAGGCAAGCCCACCTCTTTCACGCACAAGCTCTTGCAAACCCCGCACAAGCATAGAAATGCCGCTTCCTGTCCTTGCTAGGTCTGCATCTATGTCAAACATAGTAAACGAGCTTGGTTCTGTCCATCATGACAGATGCAATCAAACCATGTACATCACAGAGTAGTGGAGTCCACAGTGTGGTAGTTGTGCAGGCAATCCAATATACCCAGTCCATTTGACCATAACACCAGTGTACCCATGGGGTCCACTGCGTTGCACAGAAAAGCGATCCACCACACAGAAAATATCCAATATAGTAGGAGACAATTCAACAGGACGATTCTATCTTGACAACTTCAACGAATAAGATTTTGGGATGTCGTGCTTCGGGACATCTGTTGAAATCGGAACGATACAGAGAAGATTAGCATGGCCCCTGCGCAAGGATGGCACGCAAAAATCGAGAAATGGTCTAATTAACTATGTTACCAGTTGTCCGATGGCAGGACGTCCTCGCTGGACAGTCAGGGGGGGGCTTGGACAGACCGCCCAGGTAGGATGTCCGAACAGTTATCCGATCAGACAACCCTGGACAGCCAGGGGGGTCTTGGATGTCCGATCAGGTACCCTAGCTAATTGGAAAAAAAAAAAAAAAAAAAAAAAAAAAAAAGGATTTTTGGGAGGTCACCTCAGCCAAAAGTTTGCAGCAGATGATTTGAACAACACATCCTTTGTTTTAATTAATATTTTTGCTTGCTTTTCTTTGCTTCCTTTCTTCTCTTTCCTTTGCTTTTTTTTTTTTTCTGGTGTGCACTCCTCGTTGTACCGTTTTTGCTTCCCCTTTTTCCCCTCGTCCATTCATCGTGTGCAATGCATACCGTACATGCCATTCGCTAACTTGCACCTTTGGCATGTGACTTATTCTATTATTGTTGAACCAAACCATCCTTGTCACAAGCAAAAGATGAGATCCACATCTCCAGAGGATGTGAAGGACTTAGTGCGCACCTTTATCGGACTTCTTGGGCTTCCCCACAGAGACGGTTAGCCCAGAAGAAGCAACAGCTGGTGCAGTTTGCACACCCACAGACGTAGACGTGGTCACCCGAAGAGCAGACCTTCCTGTTGCAGGTGCACAGAAAACAAAATCCTTGACTTTGGCCTCCGTTGCTCCTACAGCCGCAGATACATTGTCCACATTGTCCTCTCTGGTGGCAGGTGGGGTGCTTGCTAACGTGACTTCCAGTTGCTGCAAGCTGTCTGAATGGCGTTGCTCTTCGTGCTCGGGCCTGGACCAATCCGTCACATACTCTGAATATTCTGGCACTTGCCCAACAAAACCGTTATCAGCCAACGATGCTGGGACAGCATCAGCAGGCTCATGAGCTAAACCAAGATTAGATGGTGCATCATCTGCCACTCCGCCCACACCATTGTCGGGCACTGTACTCAACCCAGGTCCTTCCTGCTCCACAGTGGAGACGGGGAAAAGATGATCGCTGGCTGAAGATGTGTGGTCTAGAAGTTCCGCCCCCCCTATGGTTGCCTCCGTTGTATATGTTTGGTCAGGGGCTTGCCCATGCTCACTAGGTAACACGCCATAAGTCACTAAAGGCTCTGGGGTAGAGATTTGCCCTAGTACTGCCTGTGTGTCCACTGGTACTGCAATTGAAACCAGATTATCAGGTCCCACTGGCACTTCCGAACTCCCAGCGGATGCTGGTGGAGTGCCAGTGGCTTCCTCTGGAACTGTGACTGGTGAGGGAATTCCATGATGATATTCAACAGCTGTTGGCAAACCAAGAGGGTCCACTGCTATCGTCGGAATGTGAGCATGCTCTGGCATCAGTGTGGACAAAGACGCCACATCCGCTTGACTTCTTGACGGCACATGCAGAGCAGGCATCGGACCGTCAACTGTGGGCAATGTCTCTGGCAGTACTTGCATCAGCACTGGTGTGGGGTAGCTCTCGAAGAGTTCATGAGCAGTTGCGCCCGCCAAAAGTTGCTCAGAATTCAAAGTCAAGCCAGGAGCAGGGGAAAGATGTCGGAAAGTGGTGGGAGCGCCAGGCAACGGATGCTCTGCTGTAAGAGTGCAACCCCCAACCAAGTGCTCCGGCATCACTAATAGGCCTGCAGAGGCATGCTCCCCTGTCAGTGCACTCCCGCTAACCCCTTGTTCAGGCATCAAAGACAGGTCATCTGTGAGGGCCGACCCAACTGCTGCCACGGCATTGAGATGATCTGGCACAATTATAGAACCTGGCACCAGATGATGAGCTGCAAGCTCTGAGGAGGTCATCAGATGACCAACCATCGGGCTATGGGGCAGCATTTGCTGCAGTACAGCAGGAGCACCAGGAATAAGCTGAGCTGTTGGTACATGAACAGACGGCAACAAGTGGTCCACCACAGGGTTCACAATGGGAAAAAGAGGTGTGCATGGTGCGATCTCAACAGGAGGTAGCATAGGTGCCACTGCATCGGCTGGTGGGGCACTGATCATCATATGTTCCGGTGATTCTGGGGGTGCTGGTACCGGTGATCCCAAAGGTGAATCAGCAGGTGGATCGGGTGGCGGCTCAGGTATCACATCCAGGCCACTGTCGTCATCTTCCATTGGCACAGGTGGTGGGAAAGGTGGGACCTCAGGAGTGGCATCAAAATCATGCTCTGGCGGTGGAGGCGGAACCCAATTGTCCTCCGAAGGGGGGGGTGGAGGAATGCACAAAGGATGAGGACTTCTGGGAGGCTCGGGGTGTTCAAACGTCTGCCAACCCAGTGGAAACTGAACACCCGCATCCACACCTGCTCCTGAAACAGTGCAACCCCTCTCTGATTTCCAACGATCTCCTTCACTTGCTGCCAACCCTGCCCAGCCAATCGCATGAGCTGCCGAATGCTCCTCGTCGCCAGTTACATCCATGTTATCATCGACTTCCAACTGTTCCCGTGGCACTTGCTCTGCAGCACCTTCATCAGATGAACTCGAAATTTCACCCTCCTCCCTGTCGTCGCGCCGGTGCTCCTGCACTGCTTCTGCCTCTCTGGAGCTTACTTCCTTCAGACAGGCTAAACCTCTCCCGTCCTCAGGGCTCTCGCATGCCTTGTGCTGTGATTTCCCGCCCGGTTCCTTCACTTCAAAAGGAATGGTGTCTCTCAGATCCTGGTGTGCCTTGTGCTGAGACTCCTCCTCCCGTTCCTGGGCTCCAAGCGGAACGGTGTCCCTCCCATCTCGATGTGCTCCCATCCCAGCTTGCTTATCCTCCGGTTCTTCAACGGCCCTGACCTCCTGAGGATGCAGTTCATCAGCCACTGACTCCACCCGTTCCTGCTTTGAGGCAGCCCTCACAGCCCCATCCTCACTCTCCTTAGGAGACCTTGCCTGCCTTATTTCTCGTTCTTGACAAAATCGTTCTTCCCTTTCTTTCCTCTCTATGTCACCTTGCTCGGCCTTTGCTTCCGCATCCGTATGATCTTGATCAGCTCTCCTTTCATCATCTGGAACCGCTAGATCAACCCTTGCTTCTTCATCCCCCCCCAGCTGATCCACCCCCGCTTCTCTCTCCTCCACAGCATTGCTTGCTATCGCATTCCTCTGCTCCGTAAGAACCATTGGGTGCCTCTCATTTCTTTTCGGTTTTTCCTTCCTCTCCTCATGTTCATCAGCTCTGGCTTCTCTCTTCCGCTCAATGTCCTCCTGAGCCCTCAGTTCTTGTTCCCGAGCAGCCTTTGCCTCCTCTTCCACAAGAGCCCTCTCCAACTCCTGAAGGCGCCGTTCATGGTGAGCCTGAAACATTCGACCAAACTCGACCCCGGCATCACTCTTTGCAAAGACGTCGCAATCCCCCATTCTGACCTCTGCCTCCAAGGCAAGCCGAACACACAATGGCAATTTCTCCAATGCCGACCTGAAAAACGAAAGTGAGAAAAAACGGCCAAACAAGTATGTCAACAGACACGTCCTTGGAGACATCCATTAGAACAGGAACGATACAAAGAAGATTTACATGATGAGTGGCAGCGACCAAAGTTCAAGATCCCCAATTTAAATCCAATCAACCCAAATGTGTACACTTGACAAGCAAGGAGGACACGCAGAGCAGCTATGCTTGCAAAACAATCTATGCAGGGTGGTTCACAAGGACAATCAACAGACTTGCACGGACCATACAGCACCGTCAGAGAAACACATCTTCCCCTTTCCTTCTCCTTCTAGCCCTGCTCTTTCTTCTAGCCCTGCTCTTTCTTCCTCCTCAACCTCATTCCCTTGTGCTCTCTTGTACTCTTGTGCAAAAGTACTCTTGTGCAAAAGCACTCTTGTGCAAAAGTACAGGAGCTGTACCCTTGTACTCAACTACAGACAAACACACCTTTCATAGTCTCTCTTTCTGCACTTATCTCACCAACACTATTCTCTATTCCAGCACCTCCTCCCCCATCTTTCCCAGCTTCTTTCAAAAGCACTCGCACAACAATCATTTCTTTGGCCTACATAGCCTATGCGTAGCTCATTGAGAAAAAGTAAACATGGAGTGCAGTGATGCATGGATTTCCTGTCTTAAATACAGGGTCAGACCCATGGTAAGGTCTAAACAGAATTGTCAGATTGAGAGGGAGAAAAAAGGGAAAACCTGTATCAGTAGGGTGCAGGCATTGTTATCTTCTCAAACACGCACACCCTCTCTCTCTCTCTCTCTCTCTCTCTCTCTCTCTCTCTCTCTCTCTCTCTCTCTCTCTCTCTCTCTCTCTCTCTCTCNTCTCTCTCTCTCTCTCTCTCTCTCTCTCTCTCTCTCACACACACACACACACACACACACACACACACACACACACACACACACACACACGTGCACACCAACGCACACACACACACGCATGTGCACACAAATAAAGCCGACCAAATGGAGGGCACAGAGAGATCTGATGGTCTCTGTGCAACCAAACGTTGGCAAAAAGAAGATGGTGAGAGGGACAAGAGATCGTATTCTGAAGCCCTTGTTTTGTTTCAGTCAGTGCCCACTAACACTGTCTTTGCTGCAGGTGAGGCCACACGAAGCCCACTTGAATACTCGTGTAACTCGTAAAAGTCCACAAGACGAGACACAACAATATACAGCGCGCAAGCAAGACACAAAAGATGGAAATACATTTGCACAGCCATCCACAACTCCATCTCTCTCGCACACAACCCCATTCCTCCCTTTTCTGGGAGAGGTATCCTAGATATGGTGGGCAGGAGTCGTCCTGTCATCCAGGTCTGCAACTGTAAATACGGTCACTCTGATCTGCAAGACAGGCAGATATCAGCCAGCTTTCGCATCACAGCTCCAACACTCTGGTACACGTATACCAGAACACGGCCCTCAAATAATGCCCCTCTGCTGTGTGAATATAGACACTACACTCCTCGGCTACAGCAGCCGCTTGCAGAGTAGATTCTCCCACTTCCAAGAAGGGGAAGGGAGCAACAGAGAAACGAAGGGAAGAGAGAGAGAGAGAGAGAGAGAGAGAGAGAGAGAGAGAGAGAGAGAGAGAGAGAGAGAAAAACGAAGCTGTCAACTCACCCAGCAAGCTTCTGCAAACGTTCCAGCAAAAGCGAGCCCCAGGCAGCCAACAACGGCCATTTCCCAGCAACATCATCGCCCCAGTTGGTTTCAATCTGCTCGCTCTCAGTGTTCCCGTCAGATTCGACAATAGCACCCATGCCTGTATCCGCAACATCCTTTTCACGTGCTTGTTCTGCGTGACCCTCTTGCTCGGCAACTATGCCATCCTGGTCTGTTGGCTTCATTTCCTCGTGTAAAGGTTCTATTTCTTCCCTTCCTCCAGCTTCTCCCACCGCCTCTTCCATCGCCTCTTCCGCCAGTTCTGTATCCATCTCGACTTCAGCCCCAACCTTGGCTCCCCTGTCCACCTCATTTTCCACCGTCTCCAGCATTTCCATCACTTCCTCTTCTTCGGCCACAACAGCATCAACATCCCCGGGCGTACTGACATTCGCAGCAATGTCCACGTCTGTCTTTCCTTCCTCGTAGTGCGTTGCCTCTACCATCTCTGCGTTCCTTGGCTTGTTTTCACTTGTGTTCTCTGGGGTACCAGCTGAGACCACCTCCTCCTTCCCATTACCCTGCAGAACCCCTAGACCGTCATCCTCCGCATCCACTTTCTCTACCCCCGCATCAGCGGTTTGGTCACCTTTACTTTCAACAGCATCAGCACCGCTCATGACACCTTCAGCCTCCTCACTCATCTTAGAGGCATCCTCCCCTTCCTCCTCCTCAATAGCTTGGGCATCAGTGTCTCTTGCTACTGCTTCTCCAGCATCCCTGATGCTCTCTCCCATCCTGCTCTCCTCCTTGACAACCTCCCGCATAGTGACCTGCCCGGTGTTCTCCTCCGTGATGGTCTCCTCCCTAATTGTCTCCTCCCTCATGGCCTCCTCCCTCATGGCCTCCTCCCTGATCGTCTCCTCCTTGATGGCCTCCTCCCTGACACTCTCCATTTCAGCGGCTCTCTTCTTCTTCTTCTTCTTCCTCTTTTTTTTCTTCGAGGGTCGCTCCCATGTCGTCTCTCCCGTTTCGGTATTCCAGTAGTAGTACAGCCCAGTCGCCTTATCCAAGGCTGCTCTCCATCCTGATTCCAGCTCATCCCCATCGGCCACATCCTCCTCTCCCCAAGCCGCACCTGCAGGCGAGCCCCCATCCCCCAGTCCATCACCACCACGACCACATTCTGTATTCATGGGAATCCCCTCCGCCTCATTACTACGAAGGGATGCTCCTCCATGTTGTTCCGCACCCCTAGCATCCAAAGGAACATGTGTCTGCAGGACACAAGCTTTTCCATTCTCCTTGCCTTCGCCTTGCATGCTTCCTGACTTGGTGTGCTCTTCAGCTCTCCAGCCAACTCTGTCATCATCATCATCATCCTTCAGTAGCCCGCTGCTCTCCAGCTCAGCCAGAAACTTCAACACCTGCAAAGAAAAACAACAAATCCATTAGTGCATGCATGCATGCCGGCAGAATCGTGGAATCTTTGCGGAGTGCCTGCCTCGGTCCTCCTCTCTGCCCTCCTACAGATTACGTAATTTAATTACTCCTTCCATTTTGAGCCGTGCTATGACACGAAGGAAACCCCTGAGGAAAGGCCTTATACCTGCAGGTCAAAGCAAGAATAAATATAATCCTCCCTGAAACACTACAGAAGAAAGGAAAATCGACCACTCTTTCACCCTTCCTCAAACCTACAATTTGTGGATTGAAAAACGTACCTTGTCATCCACTTGATTGGTGGCAGCATCTTTCTCCGGGCTTCGCTCATATTGCTCGCCAGCTGATGTAGCAGATAATGGTCGCACATCTTCCATAGCCGTGGACACCGGAACGGCGCCTGCAAGAGGCGCCTTGCCGTACCCATCCTCCTCCTCCTCCTCCGATTCACCGTCATCACTGTACTGACCTAGCAGAGCCAAAGGGTTCGCCAGAACCGCTGTGGAGGAAAGAGCAGACAACATCCCAATCAGGCCCACAACAATTGACAATCCTGAATCCCCTCAAGCACGCCCCAGATACCCAAAAACCCAATAAAAAGAAGGATGAGCACACAGAGAGAGAGAGAGAGAGAGAAAGCGGGAGAGAGAGAACGAGGGACATGTTCAAACCATGAAATAAAAGGTGCAACAGTCGTTTCACAAGCGAGCACAAGAAACATGCACACATGGCAACATGGACACATTCCGAATCAGGACCCAGAACAATTTGAACAACGGCAACCACGCACCCCTCTCTTCCTCCCCTTCTTCTATGTATACATTATACACACACACATATATCGTGTGTGTATACCCTATTTACGAATAGCCTCCATCTGGTCACAGACATATAAAATCATGAACAAGAATGATGACACTGAGGCAGTCACTGCTCTGCCTAATATGGTAGTTTCTGTCATCATCACCCCCAGCCCCCACCGATTTCCACTCTTTCCAAATTACACTTGTCATGCAATGTCCCACACGCACAACACAGCAACAGGGAAAACAAAAAAACAAAAAAAAAAACAAAAAAAAATCCCATTTACGTTAGCCATCTATCTAAGAAAAAAACGCATGAAGAGGATTTGACTTAGATCCGCTGTGTGCACGCCAATTAAAAACAACAGGGATCCAGGAAAGAAGAAGGCCGAGAGAGGGAGGGAGGGAGGGAGGGAGGGAGGGAGGGAGGGAGGGAGAACTCAGCAATGCTCCGTAAACATCAAGAAAACTGCAACACTGAAATAAAGCGCACGTAAAGACCTGATTGACATGTCTCACATATACAACCGAAGGGTGTTTCTGTGATTCCGTTTGCCTTTTCTTTGACTCACTGTCTCTAGGTCTGTACGTATGATGATAAACAGGTGCCTGACGTACAAAACCGACCAGAAAGATATAGTATGGAAAACAAACGAAGGCCATCGAAGCCAAGAAAACATCTTCCATAATGTAAGAAATAGTGAAGATCGTTGCGTAGCGTTAAGTCTTCACAATCTTTTTCCTCCCTCCACGTTCATTCCTTTGCCGTTCTTCTTCATAAAGCTAGCTAGCGAAACCTATAAAACCTGACCATTCCTTTTCAAGATTGCCACAACAGAAACTTCTTTCAACCATAGCCAAAACAACCTTCCGACCAAGAAGATGCTAGACTACTTTTTCATAAAGCTGACAAGTAATTCTTCACAAAAGGCCTGTCTGACACGTAATTCTTCACAATAGGCCAAGAAGATGCTAGACTACCAGAGTGGCCCGGGACCACCTGCCCGGCCGGGCAAAACATTAAAAAAAAAACAAAAGAACAAAAAATAGTTTTTAATTTAATTCTTTATTTAAAATTCGGTAAAGAATTTAGATGTGACCCTGAGGCAAAAGTTGTTCAGTGCATTTTTCTGCATAACATAGTTCGTTTTCGAATTTTTTGGATTTTTTTTTTTTTTTGCTGGGACCTTCCCTGGTCCTTGCACAGCCGGGCCCCCCGGGAAAACAGGGTGACCCGGGCGGCCCGACTGGTAGCCTACAGTATCCAA